CTCTCTTCCTGTGCCACCTCCCATTCTTCTTAAGGCCTCTTGCCACCATCTACCTTCCCACTAGGAGCCTGTCCAGCCCTGTCAGGGACACATGAGAAAACTGCTCAAACTGAGTTTCCCCCTAGAACTCTGTGTGTTTAAGCTTTAATGTGCTTTGTACAGAGTTCAGCTCCCAAACAATTTGAGGAGAGAAACTGATACTCATTCCCTGGAGATTTTTCCCTGAGTTCAGGAAGGGATTCTTCATCCTATGATTTTTTTTTTTTTTGAAAGATTTGGCTTTAGGACATGTGCACTTGTCAGAGAGACACAGAGAGACAGAATGTGAGACATCACCCTCTAAGGGGGATGGTCACACCTCAGTCCCTTTTCTTTTCTCCTCTAGGGATCTTGGACATGCACACACACACTCCTGGCATGAGTTTCAAGCTGCTGGGTCTGGGACTCCAAGTATAGTCAGCTACATGGGAGTCCAGAGCCTTCAACACTACGCCACCTGCTGGCCCCTATCCTTTGATTTTTTTTTTTTTTCCTGTGACCTCTCAGAGGTCACAGAGCATTGAGCTAAAAATGTCAATAATCCCAAATCCAGAGCTCACCCAGCACTGCCAGGGAGGACAAGAAACCCCAGCCCCAGGTGAGGCATTGGTTTCTCATCCAGTTGCTGTTTGAGACTGACCAGCTACGGCTACTGAGGACCTCTTGTGTATAGATTGTTTTCACAGAGCTTTGGGAAATGCCTCTCTCTGGAATGGCAATTAAAATATTGTTCTATGATTATCTGCTTATGTTTCTGGGTCCCTCTCTTACCAGCCTAAAGAGCTCCTTTTTAGCAATTCCAGCACCAGGCCATAGCTGGCACTCCAGAGGGTGTTTGTGCTGGGCTAGTCCACACGGGATAGAAAGCTAGACCTTGCCTTCAGGCTGCAGGTCTGCGTGGGGATCATGGGAGCATCAAAATTTAAAACAATGAAGGGCTTAAATATAAGTTCAGGGAGGCAGTGGAAGCTCTTGGAGAAGCTCATGGTTCATTGTCAACGTGCTATTCACAGACCAGTAGTTTTCAAAATGCCCCACGGAGCCCTAGGTTTGAATCGAGATGCCTCCATGGATGTGGAGCTTAGGCCAAGGGCTTCTAGACCAGCCATTTCCAATGTGTGTGTGCAAGTGTGCACACACACACGTGTGCACACATACCAGCACAAGTCATTTATATTGTTCTTTTTTACCTATTTATTTGGGCTTCATACATCCCGCAAATATTTGCTGAGTGCCTGTTATGGGCTGGGCACTCTTCTAGACACTGTGGGACACAGCAGTGAAAAAAAGATAAAACGTCCTGCTTCCATGGAGCTTAAGTTCTCAAAAGCTTAAGTTCTCCATTCAATGTTTCTTTTGGAAAAGGGTTAAACTGTATAATAAATGGGGCTGTTACCAGAAAGCTGGAAGGAGATCACGGGCGTTCTAGGAAGGTACAATGAGAAAGGCCTGAAAGGAGGCACGAAGGTAGAAAAGCCTTTCAGAGGAAGGAGGTCTGAAGTGGCTCTGAGGGAGAGCATTCGGATGGGCCGAGAGGACAGGGGAGCAGGCACGTGGGCAGGTGGGCAAGGTGTGTCTGGCGCGGGTGAGAGATCAGCGGTCAGGAGGCACAGTGTGACAAGGGGCAGGAGTGGCAGGCCAGGGCGCCCCCTCCAGGGCATCTCCTGTGACTTGAGGGAACAGAGTAAAGCGCGTGCAAGTATCCAACATGTGCTATCTGGAGAATCTCTGAGAGTGAATGTGGGGTCAGGTAGTGGCACAGTGCTAATGCCATTCTCCACAACGCTGGACCCACAGGGAAGGTCCTAGCTTCGTGTCCCAAGGCTTCCCTGTGCACGCCAGGCACACACGCTTGTGCCTGTGATCTGGGTGGCTGAGACTGAGGGTGGGTTATGGCACGAAGCCTGTTGAGGTGCCTCTCTCTCTCATGGAAGAAATAAATGAACTTAAAAAGAAAAAGAGTGAAAGTATAAAGCTTTGAGAAATGTAGGAAAAACCCCTGGAGTCATTCGAGTCCAGCCACTCCAGGGTGTTCTGGGCAGGTCTCAGCCATGGGTCCTCTGCGTGCACTTAGAGGACGGGGAGAACTGCTGCTTTGGACCTTGATCATAAACCAGCTCGAGGGTGGAGAGCAGACCAGAGGGCATCGAATCGCTGCCCTCTGACCCCTAACGCACCATCGCCCTCCTCTCTGCAGCCTGCCTTCCAGGGCCTCACCTTCACCGACCTGCCTCTGTGCTTACAACTGAACATCATGCAGAGGCTGAGCGACGGCCGCGACCTGGTCAGCCTGGGCCAGGTGGCCCCCGACCTGCACGTGCTCAGTGAGGACCGGCTGCTCTGGAAGAAACTGTGCCAGTACCACTTCTCCGAGCGCCAGGTCAGTGGGCCAACAGCCTGCCTCGTATCCCCAGCACTCTTGTGTCTTCTGCAGCAGGAAGTGGGGGTGCCTCTCCTCTGGGGCTGCCTGTCTAAATATGAGCATGTGAATTATTTTATTTTGTTTTGACTTTTTGGATAATTTTGATGAAAAAAAAAATTTACATTCTTAGCCTATCAACATTTGAGTTTAACTTGCCAGGGGTGCATGACCTTGCCAGAGAGAGAGAGAGAGATAAAGGGAGAGGGAGAAAGCACCATCCCATGGGGCATGGTCACGCTGCAAACCTGTCTCTATTTCTCCATCCCATCAGGACCCTGGGCACACACAAGCACCTGACTGGTTGTTCCCGAGGCTAGGATTTGAACGGCCATTGGCCATGTAGGATCTAGCTCCCCAAACCACCAGGCCACAGGGCCAGCCCAACCTGTTGGGTTTTGGAAAAGTCATGACACATTTTTGCATAGAAAAAGAGAGAAAAATACATCATGACTTTTTCAGCATCGCAGTATTAGCATTTGATAACTCACTCAAAAAAAAACACAAATTGGAGCCAACCGTGGTATGGTTAAGGCAGCAAGCTTTCACATGGTCAACTGAGCAGTTCAAGTCCCAGATCCAGTAGCTTGAAAAACACACCGGGCAGGAGTACATGCCCAAAATCTCAAGAGGATGATGAAGAAGAAAGAATTACAACATGGCCACCCACCCTGGGGAATGTTTTCTCATTCCCTTCCACCCCTCTCTCTCCAGCAAGCACACACACCTTTTTTATTTTAAAAATAAATTTTTCCATGTTTCACAAATTGGCTCCCATCCTTTCTTTTGTATACAAAATAACATATTTTTATGACACTTGGCAGTTAAAGTGCTTTTACAGAGAGTATTTCATTTATTCTAATGACCCCAGGAAGGATAGGTGTCACTGCTCATTTTAAACAGATCAAGAGACTAAGGCCACTATGGCCAAGTGACATAAACGAAACAGCAAAATGGCTCTCTGGGTGAGGAAGCTGCCCTTGAACTTGAATTTGAGCCTGCAGACACTAACTCTGGTCCTGTTGCCCCTTGTCATGCTGCCTCAAGTATGCTGGAATTTCTTCAGTTTCCTTATATAGATATGTGGGTTCAGCAAGTTCTGTTCATGAAGCCACTAGTGTTTAGATGCAGAATACTACCCCAATGCCAGGCTGTCACTGCATCCCCCTGGAAATAATCACTCAAGTCTATAACAAGGCCAAGACTGAAGTCTACTGAGATCACTTGAACTTGAAAGGACCATTCAAGTGCAATAAAAGTCACTAGTCAGACAAGCATGCCTCTGGCCACCTATTTGTTCTAGACTGGTTTAAAGCTACTGTTTAACTGGGGAGAGCTAGGAAGGTAACTTCTTTATATCTGACAGTTTTTCCTCCTGGTTCTTGTAGGGTACAGCTGAAAACAGGGAAGAGAGGTCAGGAGCAGAGCTCCTGACAAAGCATCTCCTTGACAAACTCCTGCAACTTCTTTTATTCATTTGATTTTTTTTTTTATTTTTAGATCCGCAAGCGATTAATTTTGTCAGACAAAGGGCAGCTGGATTGGAAGAAGATGTATTTTAAACTTGTACGCTGCTACCCAAGGAAAGAGCAGTATGGAGACACCCTTCAGCTTTGCAAGCACTGTCACATTCTTTCCTGGAAGGTACATGTCTCAGGGCGGCCGTCACAGACCCCTGCCCAGCCCCTAAGAGTCAACATGGCAGCATTGTGAGACCAGGTCTCTTCCTACTGCCTTTTTGCAGCCGGAAAACTGATTCTGTGCCTGCGCAAGGAGGAGGATCGGGGAGCTTTCCTTTCCTTCATCCCTTATGTTTATTTTCTCAAGTGCTGGGTCCGAGATTTGAACCACATAGTTAGTCATATGGGCTCCAGCCACCTTAATCACCATGCCACTGGAAAGCCCCCTTTGTTTTAATCTTTACACCGCCCAGCCCCAGGTTCTATCTGTGTGCGCATACACACTACTCAGTCCTTTGGTTTTTCCAGACCTGTGGCATTCTTGACTGAGGAATGTTGTTTTGAAATTGGGCAATGCCTCCCGAACAAGATGCCTCTGAGAACTTGAACCTAACCATCGTGTTCCCTTCCAGGGCACTGACCATCCGTGCACGGCCAATAACCCCGAGAGCTGCTCCGTTTCACTTTCACCCCAGGACTTTATCAACTTGTTCAAGTTCTGAATGTCTGCACACAACAGCGCTCCCTAAGGGCCCCGCTGCTGACTGGGTAGCTGGGAAGGCAGAGTTTGGACACTTCGTTTGTAAATAGTGTACATTTTAAACATTGGCTCCACACTGCCGAGATCAGTCATGGAGAGGACATCAGAGGCGAGAGACGCAGTTGCTGACTGGGAATTTAAGAATGTGAACTTCTCATTAGAAGCGGGATGGAAAAGCAGAAATACTGTAAATAAACTTTTTTTTTTTTCCTAACAATCTGCCGGCAAGACTGTAAGGGCAAGAATTCTAACTCAGCGGTGAAAATGGAATTCTCTTGATGTTCGTGGAAACCCCTTGATAGTTCCCTAGGGATAAAAAAGGGGAGAGAAAAAAAAAAAAAAGATACAAGATAGGACACTCTGTTTACAATGTGAAAATGTGTTTAGAGAAAACAAAAGAACAGAAGAAGGAAACTACATACATATGAGACGTCTTGGGCTTTTGGTTTTGATTTGGGGTTTGTTTTGAAAGGCAGAGGAAGCACCACCCACCTTACGCGTGCTGGGTACAGGGCCTTATCCTACGAAGATACCACACAATGTTCTACCTCTAAAAGCAGAGAGCGCTTTCTTGACAACGTGCATTACCCAGTAAGCAGTGTCTGCTTTGCTTGTAAGTTTTGTCATCACTGTAAAAAGTGATTTAAAATGGGAGGAGATATTGGAAGCAACCTTCATCTTGTTTCAGACTTCCTTTTTAGGCAAACAGGGCCCTCTTTGAAATTCGCTCTTTTCCTAGAACAATCCCAAAGTATATGTGCCTTTTTTCCTTTCATGTTGTATCTCGTTTGGGGAAACAGAAGGCCAATTAGGAACAGTCCCCACGGAAGTCTGGCCACAAAAAAAGATAGAATTAGTCACTCCGTAGCTGTGAAGATTTCCATATTCCTGTTTAACTTCCTGGCTTGTCTGGGTTCCCTTGGGCACTTTCGTGGATAAGCATATGTCTGTGGGCTGATTGGCTCCCCAGGGCTGAGGCTTGAAAGACAGGTTTTACATGTTGGCCAATTAAATATCTTACCAGTGTCTGCTCCCCTTGGCCAGGTGATGAGCTGAAACGCTTTCATCAAAATTTAGTCAACCTGATCTAGGACTTTTTGTGGAGGTGATTAAAAATAAAACCTGGAGTTTGAGCCAGATAAGGAGCAGAGGTACCCTGAGTTCCTCCTGAACTTGCTTCAAGGCTGAGTAGTTCAAACCCAAGGAGTTAAAGCATAAAGATCCCTAGAACTCTTGTGAGGCAAATATTAGCTGTGGAAATAACTGTGGGAGAAAGGAAATCTCAGGACTTAAATGAGTGAAATGTCAAATATTCCTGGGAGGGGTTGGGGAGGGATTTTGTTTTGTTTTGTTTTTTACTTTTTATAGAATGTTGCTTTTCTACAACAATGTACATATATTGCAGTTGTATTTGCTTTTTTCTTTTTCTTTCCAAATAAAGTTGCCACCCTGCATGCCTTTGGCAAATAAGTGAAGGTGAAATAGGAACTTGATCCACATTTATGTTGAAGAACAGTGTATCCTTAAGGGTTGATCTTTGGGGTGACCTGAAAGTGGACAAAGATGGCTTAGCATGTAGAAGAACAAGACAAGGGACAAGCTAGTGACATGCACCCCAACATGCCCTTCTCCCAAAATACAGCCCAATTACCATCACCCTAAAAAGAAGTAATTTACTAGCCAGTGCTCCCTGCTTTGTGCCTATGCCAGTATTCCCCCCCCCCTTTTTTTTATTATCATCCACTAAGAGGAAAAAAAATTAAATAAGATTTTGTTGGGTATGATTGAGCTTTAAGAGGGTCACATACCATTGTAATATCTAAGCCTCATTTTTGTTTGTTTGTTTGTTTTTCTGGGGGGTTTGCAATCTCCTTCTCCCTTTGAGTCAATTTCACGTTGGGAATGCAGGAACTAGAAAGCTGAACAAAAACTAACTTCTTCCATAATTATCAGGTTCTCTCAAATTTCTCAGCTTTCTTGAAGATAGAGGGTGGAGCTGGGTCTGCTGTTGCTGTGAGAGCTCTGAGACCTTTGAGTAACATCTTTAGAGTAAGAGATTGATGGCCTTCATATCCTCCCACCAATAAGTGACTTGAGCAGGTAGAAATTCCTCAGCACCTCCTGGTTTGCAGTCCCAGAAACACTGTCTACCTTGGACCATCAGCACAGAACTGGTGAATCAGTGTCACTTAGACCATCAGCAATGCACGGGGTCACATGTCACACACCACAACGTACATCTGTGCAAGACAATGTACCAAGCGACAGGGCCACTGTCTTCCAAAATGTTGTCCAAGATGGTGCCTGGAGGTGACAGGTGACAGCTGAGAAAATCTTTTAAAGGAAAAAAGAAAAGTAAGGAGACCAACGTTTAAGGTTCTCCTTCATTGGAAGAAGAGAATAAGGAAGGAAATGGCAGGTGGAGAAGGAGAGGGAAAGGAGTAGAAATGTGTATCTTCGGTGCTGTGGTTTGTAGGGACACTGGGAAGAGCACAGCAGGCACAGGGAACCTGTTAGCACTGCACGGTAACATGGGCCAGCTTGGCCAGGGCCCCACATGTAAGGAAGTGAGTTCAAAAGAACACCCTTGCTCCCAAGCACTGATAGTCTATAGAATTTCTATTGGCAAGCCCTTCCAGATGAACGGACCTAAAAAACAGAGAATCCCTGTCTCAGAACTGCTGGTCTAAAAGCCAGAAGAGGCATGACTATGGACATTGCTAGAAAAGACAGAATGCTCTACTCTCTTTGCTGTACCCACCTACCCTGCCCTAAACCCTGTAAAGAGTTAGAACTGGAGGGACCAGCAGATGGTTTAAAGGTTATGTTGCTAGACTCCTACATGGCTCATTGTGGTTGGGAGTCCCCGACCCAGAGGCTTAAAACTCACACTAGGGGTGTGTGTGTGTATGTGTGCATTCGTGTGTGTTCCCAAAATCCCTAGAGAGTAGCGGAGAAAGGATTGCAGCATGGCCATCCCCTCTGGGGGTTGATTTCTGTCTCTGTCTCTCCGGCAAGTGCACATACCCTATACCAAAAATATCTCTTAAAAAATAATAATAATTAGAACTTGATATCAGGCACGAAGGCCAGATGCTATGGCATGTACCTGTAATCCCAGCTACTTGAGGAGGCTAAGGAGGATTATGGCACAGAAAGATCCTGTCTTCTTTAAAAAAAAAAAAAAAAAAGGAAAGAAAGAAATTGACGTCAAATATGAAGTAATTCAGACTTCCAGAAAAGGAAAGAGTTCCATCCAGGGCAGTGTGAGCAAGTCCATAGGGATGTTACATTTTGGCCCAACTCAAAGGTTTATGGCAGTGAGCCTAGAGTCTCTTGAGAGTAAAGCACAACATTTGAGAGAAAGAATATGCAAAGTTTAGGAGCGCTCACTTTATAGCAAGATCCAAAAAAAATCCAATAACATCTGATTTGATCCCATTATTGCTCAACTCGTTTACCCAGGAGTGGATGAATCAGTCAATTGGGAGGGTGGGTGACAGAAACAAACTCAAGTTCCAAGGTAAAAACATCCCCAGGGTGTCAATTGTGAGCTGACATTTGTTTTAGTGATGCTTCATTTTATATTGAAGAGCTTGGGGGAGATCTTGTGTTACTGTTTTTTGGAAGAGATATATTAAATGGCCTGCCTTTACACTGCAGAACTGTCAACACAGATGCAGGTTTGATATCCTCACGACCTTGAACAGGTAGTGGGTGTGTTATTGCTTCAGTTCTCATCCTGGTAGATTCACAAACCCTTCCCCATGAGGAGCTTGCTGTAACAGAGGCTCCTTGTTCCTGTTGTTTTTAAACGGGAGAAAAGAAAGCACCTGGAATTTCATTTGTCTAAGCAAGTGGTGTGATTTACAAGGAGGTAAATCATTTCAAGAGATGTTCAACACCGCATCATTCTTAGCATTCAATGCAATGCTTATTATAAAACATGCACGTGGGTTTATATTTTTCTGCTAGGCTATAGGACAATAATGTCTTGCTATGTAGACATTATTTTAGGAAGTTTGCTAACTATAATTTTATGTGTGCATTTTTAAAAACTCTTATCATTTTCTATGTTGACATCCATTGGGATTTTTTTTTTTTTCATCTGCTTCCAACTATCTGAGTCTGTGAGCCATCTCTTCTGACTGGATGCTGGCCTAAAATCCTATTAGTGTTTAAACAGGCCTCAGAAACACCCTGAACCTCGAGGTAAACGCAGAGATGTTGCTCTTTGATATACCCTGGGTCCTTGATCGCTTCAACAAACAAGGTCATAATTCCTCTAAACTCACTGTTTTCCATAGATTCTTCTCTGTTTTGCTAAGGAGATAAAACCCTCTGGTTTTCCAAAGAATGAAAACTCCTACCCCAGACATTAGGCCTGGAGGGGATATTATAGATAGTAGAGTCTGACATTCCTTCTGCCTATCAAAATGAGATGGGTCCAGGATGATTAGTGCTGGAGCCAAACATAAACCTGGCGCTCCTTACCTGTGTGTCCCCTGACTCCTACTCCACACACATGTTGGCCTAGCTGGAGATACACAACACGCTACATGATTATCTTCTCAAGATCTTCCCTGTGGAAGGGCTGGGAGACTGAAGTGCTGGCCATCTGGCCATTAACTTTTCTAAGCATTTAAGTCCCTGATTCTTACTGAGAAAGTTAAAGAGTCACTTCATGTGTTTACAGTGCTGTGTTGGGAGTATGGCATTCTAGTGAAGACAACCTGCTTGCTAAAAAGGACATGTTTTTAAAAATCCATTTTTTCCTGGGATACCTATGTTTCGATTACAAAGGTAGCCCTTATAAAAATATATAAGGGCTAAAGAATGGCTTGCCTTTTAAAAACAGGTTCAATGTTAACCAAGCAGGTATTTCCTCTTCTGCAGACTAAGAGGTACATTTAATCCATCCTCTTCATCTCCCCTCCAATAGCACCAGCTGTGAGATCCATGAATTTTGACTCTGGTGGAAGTTTATTCTTTGCTAAAACTCATCTTCAGTAAGTAAAGGTGGATCATTCCAAAGGGCAGCAAGGGGCAAAGGTCTAGGATATTCATGACTTTGTCTGCCAGGCATTTTTCTAAGTGTCCTTGAACTCAGCAAATGAAGCTTCCTGAAAAAAAAAAAAAAAAAAAAAAACTCTCAAAACTTAGGTCCTGCTCCATTTGACCAAAGTGGATGGTTGCTCCAAAGCTCAGAACTTACTGAAACTTCTTCTGCTACATTATTTCTGGAGTTTGAACATGACTTTTTTTGGTCTTTGAGTATAGATATGTCTGTTTAATTAACAGTACACAAGTCTGTCCAATAGAAGGCTACAAGCCTGCTCTGTACTTGGGAACTCTTGGCGCCATCTTTATTCTACCAAGTGCCAATCACCCCTGGCTAACATGGGTGTCAGAGGTGTATATGACAGTCCATGTCCTAAGCTTGGAAGCTTTAATGTACTTTCTTAATAAAAAATATTACAGGGGGTTGAACATTATAACTAAAAGTAGTAGATGAATTACATGTAAAAGTGTTTATTTAATAATATTGAGTGAGCTAAAGTTCTTCTGTATAAATTATTTGCACACGTTCCTTGCATGATGATGAACTGGTTTTTTTAATAGTTGTTTGTACCAGACGGTGGCATATTTTTGTAAAAAAAAAAAAATTTTTTTTGACACTGAGTTGCAATAAATGTTTTTCCAACAATACACATTGGGACATTTTTGGTATGTATCAATCCAAGTTGGCTTTTTGTTATACCGAATGTTTCTCTCTTGCCTATTGAGATTTATAGTCCTTCACCCAGAAATTTGTTACCATTATTAGAAAACGTCTAGGAATGCACAGAAAAATAAGCTTGTTGTGAATACCAACCAAAGTCCTTACTACAGTGCTATGCTTAGATGGGATGTTTTTATAAACTGCATAGTGGAATGATTAGAGAATAATACATTTTGAAATCACTATTAATTTATTCATTAACAGACAGTTATGGAACAACCACTATCTGCTAGGCTTATGCAAAGAGTGGGGGGAAAGGTGGCAAATAAGACAGAAATGGTGTATGTCTTGATGAAATTGAGATTCTAGTGAGAAAGACAAAAAAAGGAAGCAAATAGAAAAAAATCATAGTGTTATGAAGGACAAGGATTGAAACAGAGAATAACAAGAGGGACCTGCTTAAGGTAGACTGAAAGGGGTGGGGGTGCTCTCCAAGGAAGAGATATTGAGGCTGAGACTTGAAGGATGAGCAGGCACCAGCCTCAGAGAATGCTGAGCAGGGGTCCCTACTGATGAGCTCAGTCGTAGTGGCTTGACTTGGGACTACCTGTTGGTCTTTCTCTCTCTGCTACATGGCCTTTTCTGAGGCTCCACGGAAATGGCTTCCTTGATGACCCTCAGGTTAAACTTTTGTAGCTTTTCAGCTCCTGTTGGTTATTAGAAATCTCATTCCAGTATTTGAGCCTCTCCTGGTTTATTTGCCTCAGAACCC